CGACAACGTTCAATGCATGTTGCAAAACGTGTCTACAGCAACATTCAATGCACGTTGCAAAAAGTTGGAACTCTACGTCGACATCAAAGCCCGCAACGTGCACATGAACGCTGCAAAAGGTCTATGGCAACGTTTTTCGTACGTTGCCATATGCTGTTTCTGGTGTAGTGGATGTGTATTTCCACGTAACACAACATTCTACATCACTCACCTTAAAATACACTTTTAAAAAATGCTCAAACAAAAACTTATTTTTGACTCATTAAACAACATACTTCAAGAGGAGAAAATATTGTCAATCATTTTTCATTATTCATATGCATCATCTCCATTAGTTTTAACATCCACGTCAACTTATCACCTTAGTTAAACTAGTGGTTATAGATGATGTGACCATGACTGCTCGTAAATCAAAGTTAAATGATATTATTGCTCGAAATTAAAGGTGAGTGATCCAATTGCAGGTTCATTAAAATTTAGTTATTGATGTTGCAGTGAACCATTTAAAAATGAATTCTAGAAACATGACTTTCTTTTTGTAAGTACTGATACTACCCGAAACTAAAAATATTGCTCATGCACCAAGCCAAAGTCTCAAAACACGAAAGATGCGTTGAGCTCACAAAAAATAATTGTTTAAAATTCTATTTCGTTCAAATTACAATTGATGAGGATTTTAAAATGCTAAAAAAACTTAAACGAGAATATGGCAATATGAGAAAATAATAACAAGAACACAAGATTTACATGGAAACCCAATTAAGGAAAACCACAAAAGAGGAGGAAAATTCACTAATATAAAATAGAAGGATTAAAAATTGTGTATGATGAATTTTTTCAAGAGGTTTACTCCTTTTATATATAATGCAAATAAGAGCTTAACATAAGGTGGAGTTTTAATACAGTAAGCATATCCAATAACGGAGTGTTTGAGATTGAATAAGAGAGAAAAACTATCAAATCATGAAATCCAATTGCACCAGATAATACGACTGCTCGAGCGGTGCCCTCACGGCTAGAGTGAGCGGTGATGTTACTGAAATTGTTGCTCGAGCGCTTGATGAGTGGCCAACGAGCGGTCTTCAATGCGAATCTTCTCCTTGCTTACATCTTTGACTTCTTCAATTATCAACTCCTAATAGAACTCCCAAATATAATTTGGGTCACAATTGAATTCTAACAAATCTCCACCTTGAAACGAATTTAATGCAAGGATTAAAATAATAACTCTTCAACAAAAAATCCAAAAATTCTCTAATAAAACTCTCCACATCTTCCACAAAAGTTCATACGGACAAACTTAACAACAATTACCAATTAAGTCCAAGCCCTGCTTAAACACAGTTGCATTCAAAGTATAAGCTTTGTGAAGGTCTAATATCTTTTCTGGGTTTGTTTTTAACAATAGAATACTATGGCACCGCTAATGTTGGTGACAAGCATAACCCCTAACTTCTGAACAAGATTGAGATATATTCTCTAATATAGACTATGAACCAAACTACAACGGTACTAAGCTTAGGACTTCATCTTTACCAGTGTACTTGTACCTTTTTGTATTAAGAATACTCAAGGAAATAAGATTTCTCTTCAAATTTAGAACATATCTTACATCACCAAGTGTCCTGACAGTTACATCAAACATTTTAATTCTTACCTTTCCAATACCAACTATGTTACATGGTGCATAATTTTCGATTATCACAGCTCCTTTAGAAATAGTTTCATATGTTGAAAATCAACCACAAATAGAGCACATATAAGATGTGCAAGCTATATCAAAAATCCAATCATTAGGTTTGGAGTCGCTGTAATAAATATCTTAAAGTTTTCCGTCACTGTAACCATCTTCTGCAAAATTGGCTTCTCCTGAAGTTTTTGGTTATTTTCTCTTCTAATTTGTAATAACTAATTTATCCTTATTCTGTAACTTATAGCGAGCCCTTTTGATGTGGCACATTTTATGAACACCTAAAAAATTCTCATGAACAACAAGGCCCTCTGCTTGAGTTTTAGATCTAATAAGTTGTTCCATCTTCTCCTTTAAAAGTAGAGTATCATATACTTTATTAATTATGAGTGTCACAACTATAAAAAAATGATGTCTCTGAAAGTCATATATGAGATGGGTAGAAAACACAATAAAATCAACACAATAAAATCAACCATAAATCCTCTTTATCGTACTTAACATCAGTGGTCTCCAAATGAGCGACAATTTTCTTAAAGACATTTAGGGGATCTTCTATAGACTCGTTTTCTTCATATGATGAGAATATAAATGCTGCTTCAAATGCAATTTACTTGTTAGATTTTTCGTTATCAATAATTGCTCCAAATTCAACCATGACGCAGCGGCGGTTTCTCCTTTAAAATGTCCTAAAAAATTTGATTCAAAAAGATGAAAATAAATTTGAGATAGAGCCTTTCGATTTTTACATTGTTTCTACTCCAATGTCCAAGTTATGGACATATTATCAAACCCCAAAAAAGAATCACCTAAATCCGTCTGAGCGAGCACTGCTCACATCTTTACATGATAATGAAAAAATCTAATGTTGCGATCCAAAAGTCGAATATCGAACTTCATACTTGCCATCACAAAAATAAACATCGCTCTGAGTTGATCAAGCCTCGCTTTGATATCAGTTTGTTAAAAAACTTAAACGAGAATATGGCAATATGAAAAATAATAATAACACAAGATTTATGTGAAAACTCAACTAGGAAAAAAATCACGGATAGAGAAAGAGAATTTACTAATATCAAATATGAAGGATTAAAAATTGTGTAGGATGATTTTTCCATGAGGTTTACTCCTCATATATATAATGCAAGGAAGAGCCTAACATAAAGTGGAGTCATAATATAACAGACAACCAATAACGGAGTGTTTGAGATTGAATAAAAGAGAAAAAATTGTCAAAGTCGCGAAATCCATTTGCACTAGATAACACGACCACTTGAGCGGCGCTCTCACGGCTAGCGAGTGGTAATGTTACTGAAATTTTTGCTCGAGCTCCTGATGAGCAGCCAGCAAGCGGTTTTCAACACGAACCTTCCCATTGCTTACGTCTTTGACTTCTTCAAGACATTTTCAATTACCAATTCTTAATAGAAGTCTCAAATAGAATTCCAAATAGAATTTTTAAATCGAATTTGGGTCACAATCAAAATATAATAAAAAATAAATTATAATTGACAAAAATACTCAGTCAAATGGGTTTATATTCCTTCTCAAATTAAATTTGGTCTCTAATTTGGACTTCACAAAGTTGGACTTTCCCTTTTTCTGGGCAAAATTTCTTTATTTTTGACTTTTTGAGACGGAAATTTGAAACTAAAATCTTTAATTAAGAAACGCGAATTAACCAAACAAAAAACATGTTCTCAATTAATCACACGAGGGCATCTACATTTCTAGCGGATACGATTCTTTTGTTTTGAATCGAAAAATTTGCACAAACATTGTTAACAATTTTCAGGATATGTTAAATGTATATGAGATTAATTACAAATTCAAAAAACATTTATACTACTATATTTGGAGGTAGAATTGAGCATTGGCTGACCGGAGGGGTGGCTTGAGATGACGTGACCCTCCTGCTTTTGTACATTTTTTATTATTTTTTTGGCCTGGAATGTCAACGAAATCGAAATATTGTATTTTTAATATAATTTTGAAGTACAACAACCTAGTTTTCAGTCGTTAACGGCATGCTTAATGGCCAATTGTAGCAAATATTACGGTTCGTCAAAGTTGACCGATCCAAACTAGTATTTCAATAATTTTGATAACTTGTTAACTTTAAAAATTCTCCAACAATCGTATAATCTACAAATTGTCTATGTTATCTCGAAATTCATTTCGAAAACTATATTATAGACATATCAAATGGTCCAAACATATATTAAAAATAATTAAAAGTGTGTTAAACGTACGTCTTAAAAAGAGTAGTCAAATATATATATTTTTAAAAAATTTCAATTATTTCATTAATGTTTATTATTTTTGTTCGACAACAAAATTGTCGTCAAAAATTTTCGAAATTTTACATTTGAAAAAATCATACGACATGTAAAATTTTGGATGGAAATTTATATGAAATGTGACTTTTTCGAATGTAAAATTCCTCACAACTTTTTTACGTGCCCTCGAATTTAAAGTGTCTGCATCCGTACTAGAATTGAGTGTCACTTGATAGGTTCTAATTTATTGGCAACTGGACAAAATCGTTTTTTATTGGAATTCCTGAAAATGAAACATTGGTTCGAGTAGAAGGGTACCATACGTGATCGAATACGTGTTTGGTCCTGTTATTTTATATTTCAAAAATAAATTATAAAGCCGCCTACCAATATTTACAATGTTTCAAACAAAATATCAATTTAGGTTTTCGGGGTGCGGTGCGGTGGGGTGTTCTTCAAAGAACCTTCCCTAACATCAATTTTTTATTTGATTTTGAAGACTTAAAGGCAGCAACTACAACTATAAATACCCATCAAACACTTGAACAACGTAGTGCTCAACATTCCTACCATTCTTATCCACTAACCAACAATTCCTCCACTGTTTCCTTGAAATTTTCGACTGAAAATATGGTGTTCTTGTCCAAGATTACAACGATCAATGGATATGGTGAAAAATCTTACTTATTTTGATGGTTGGAAGGCATATGACAATGATCCCTTTCATCCCACGAAAATACTTCTGCAGCCGTTCAAATGGGATTCGCAGAAAATTAGGTACAACATGTTTGATACATAGTATTGAACAATATTGTTTGATCCTGTCCAATTCTGTATAATCAAACCTCAATTAATATCTCTTCTGATTTATGTGGCTTTGTTTTTGATTTAATCCAAGAATGGGTTGAGAACAACCCAATAGCTTCCATTTGTAAACCTCAAGGATTAAATGGATTCAAGGATATAGCAAAAGAGTCGTGTTTATGATAAAGGAGGAAGAGTGGGTTCAAATAACGAACTTCGCTGTGCATTCAACTATTTTCGGTGCACACGATTCCGATTGTTTCTTGGCCAGCCATTGGCACGCTGCACTCGGGTTCTGGACTCTTGGGTAGATTCACTTCGCATATGGTGTCCTCGTGATCTCCACTAAAGTTGAGCTTGTAGTGTTCATTGCTATCTGTTACGCCCTTGACTGAACAAGTCACGTTTCTAGTTATTGGGTTACTGAATTCAAACTTCAAAGTCGCACCTAAACAAAACATAGAGATACGTTAGATGTTTGTTTATTTAATGCCACAAATGCCATCACCTAAACTACTATGAAATATCACAGGTGCTAAACAAAATTATCTGCGATGTTGTGGCTAAGTTTGGTCTCAAACATGAAGCGGCATGGATAGCAATACACATTGCCTTCTACATCGAACACTTCTGGTGCATAACAATGAGCGACAGTGGCAAAGGCAAGAGCAACATCCTTGAAGCCATTTGATCCTTGAGATTTACAAATGGAAGCTTTTGGGTTGTTCTCAACCCATTCTTGGATTAAATCAAAGAAAAGCTGCATAAAATCAGAAGATTAATTTGGGTTTTGACTATACTGTACTGGACGAGATTAAACAGTATTGTCAATACTATGTACCAGGCGTGTTTGTACTTGATTTTCTGCGAGTCCCATTTGAATGACTCCAAGAGTATTTTTTGTGGGATGAAAGGGATCACTGTCATATGCTTTCCAACCATCAAAATAAGAAGATTTTTCACCATATCCATTGTTCGTTGCAATCCTGGACAAGAACACCATATTTTCAGTCGAAAATTTCAAGGGAACAAAATGAACAATAAACAATCGAGGAATTGTAGAAATGTCTGAAGAGGTTTTGAGTACAACGTTGTGCAAGTGTTTGGTGTGTATTTATAGTTGTAGTTACTATTGTGCAAGGTTCATTGGCCCCGCCCACACCCACACCCCGAAAACCTAAATTGGAATTATGTTTGAAACATTGTAAATAGTTTATATGCGGATTTGTACTTAATTTTAACTTGAAACAAAATTCATGGAGAAGAACCCAATACCATTCGAGGCATTGCTCGAAAATGCCCTATTGATGGACAGGTCTGGGTCCGGGGAGGCAGTTACGACGAGGTTAGAAGCGGTGCTAAGCATTGCAGAGGAGGATAATAAGGTGAGGGACGTGAAGTTAATAATGGCGAAAAGTGCAATTCTTGCAGAAGAATGTGGAGGAGGCATTGAGGAGCTTGTTAGGGAGGATCCTTAATGATTTCAGGCTCTATTTTCGTAAAGGGATGATTATAGTTTGTTGGATAGGAATGAAGAGGCCAGAGAGCAGTTCTCAAAGTATCCTAAGCTTTCACCCAAGAAATTTGAAGTAGAAGGGTATTTGAGAAAGCCATCGTCGAGGATGAAGCTTTTCGGAACTGATGAGGGAAACTCAATTTGATTTCAGGTACTTTTTTTTTGGATGAAAACAAGAATCTGTTTCTTGCTTTATACAAATTAATTATGCAACACAACACTCACAGTTCAGGTCGGCTTCTCAAACTGGGTTCAGATTTTTCGAGTAATAACGTCAATCTCGACTTTCACCCTTGGAAATATTGTTACATTTATATAAATGGTACCAGTCTTTTATGTGATCATATAACTAATAATTCATATTAGGATTAAACAACAGAAAAACAACAATCTTGGAAGACTTGAATATGTCGATTCAAACAATCTCTAGAAAAGATTAGAACAATTAGGTTATATTATTCTCCAGGGGATATGCTAAAGTAGGCACTGAAAGTTTGAAAAGCAATGCAGGGCTATTTTGCTGGATGGACTTGAGGAGACTCCTTAAAGAACCAACATTTGAAGTCGAAATGGAGTTATGACATTTAATTATCAATGAAGTCGAGCTTAATGTTTCACCAGGCGTGCCTCGTTCAATTGCTCCGAGCCAAGTTGGTTCAGCGTGTGCTTTGTGAGCATGGACGATGAAACCTTGAGAATTGCACCAGGCACGCCTCATTCAATTTCTCCAAGCCAGGTTGGTTCAGGGTGTGCTTTGTGAACATGGACAATGAAACCTTGAGAATTGCACTCAGTAGGATCCTCAAATTATCGCGTTCCACATGCCATTTTTATACCAAATAAGTGGAAGATAAGGCTTCGCGGTCTTCTCCAGTGACAAATACATATATTTCTTATGTTTTTAACACCATGCTTGCAAAAATAACAAGTTTCATTAATTCTTTCCAATTAATTTATTATGTTTTTCCTCATTTGATGGATGTAAGTTGCATCAAAAGGGATCTATTAGGATTTACTCATTTTTTTTCTTTATTTTTTGTCTTCCTTTGTTCTTCATGAAAAGGAAGCTGTTTTTGGATATATAAAAGTTCTATTGGTAAAGTTATCAAATACAAGTATTCATTGTTGAAATAACATCTACAATATCCGCATTGCATTCAAAATATGCCTTGAAGTATCATATACTGTATATTCTAGTAGTAGCATACGTAGAGATATTTGTAAAATGAACTTGATTTAGGCCATATAAATCGATAGGCTTACGTTTAAGTTTCGGGTTTATTAATTAATTTAATGTAATCAATTGTAGAGTCCAATTGTTGGTCCATGTTCTAGAATAGTCGATATATAGAATTGTCATGTTTACGTTTACCTATTTTTCTCAAAGACGACTGGAGCAAAATCTACACACTTTCTTTATCACTTGATCATAAAAAACCAGAAAATAGAAAGAGATGAAGTAGAAGAGCAAAACTAAGATTTCTCAAGTGAGGAGTTCGAGAGAGAACAAGGAGAGTAAAAATCTCTCAAAACCAACAAAGATCTGCTCCTAAATGACCAGTAGACTAACGGTTAAACCATCAAAAGAATCTAGAATCCTCATCCAACGGTCACCGACAAACAACATGTCATAATATCAACAGAGAACACTAACAAAAATATGATTTCACAGACATGTTTTCTCCAATTGTGCACGTCTCAACACTTTTCTTATCGTGCCCGAGAAAGAAAGAATAATCGAGACAATAAAAGTGCATATCATTCGTAGTACGAGTATACAATTCAGTCGTACAAGAACTAGGATTTGCAAAAATTTAGATTGCCCTCTTATACAAAATAAATATAATCGTTGGACAAATGGATCAATAGTATAACTCCTTTCCTTTTTTCCCTATATTTATTTATTTATTTATTTATTTATGTGTTATTAG